TTTTTTTGTTTTTTTTTAAGTACAAAAGATTTAAAAAAAAAAAAAAAAAAAGAGGAAAAAATATCTAGTTCCAGAAATGCATGTGCTATGTGCATGCCACACCGTGGGTTAAAAGTCATCTTCAGGACATAAAAAGAAAAAGCAGATTAATTAATTCAGAGGAATAATTAAAAAAAATAAAAAAGATATATAAATAGATAGATGTTTTTAAAAAGCAATGTTTCCTTTTTTCCTTCTATTTTTGAGAACAAAAAAGGTTGAAAAAAAACGACAAAAAAAAAAGTCTAAAGAGTAAAAAAAAAAAACACAAAAGAGACTTTGGTGAGAGACGAAGTCTTTGTTTGTTTTTCTTCTATTACATGGGGTTGAGGCACAACACGACCATGTTCAGGACACCACAAAAAAAGAACTGTTTTTAATGAAAAAAAATACAACAAAAAAAAATACAAAGAAAAGAAAGTACAGTTCAGACGATGGTGTATTCTCCCTCCTACTTTGTGTGGGGGTCAGGGGCTGCAGGAGCCAAATGTGATGATGTTCTCATTCTAACTGGCTGTTGGACCTTTGATCTCCCGCTCACTCCCTCTGTTTTCTTTCTCTCTCTCTCTCTCTTTCTGTCTAACTCTCTCTCTGTCTAACTCTGTCTCTCTAACACTCTTTACCTGTCGCACTCTCAACCAGTCTCACCGCTATTTCTACCAGTGCATTTTGTAATTCCAAACAGAACTCTTCCTAAAGAATAAAATCCAGAGAGAATGCACACCGCTTTGCCTCGTTACTTGTCTGCATTGTTGCTTCGATCTTTGTTGACTGTGTGTGAAGCCCCTTTTCAGACATTTGTGTATCTGCTGAGGTGACGTCAGTCAGACTTTGGTCGCTTTCGGCTTCGTTCAGACACACCCATGAAAGTGACAGAAGAAGCAACGTACGGTGCAGTGTTTGTCATGAGATCGGAGCGTCCATGCGGTGACATAATGCACTAACAGACAGACTAAATCCGCTGTGAAACAAATGATTTAACTGCAGACTTCTCTTCACGCTTGTTGAAGACGTTTCACCTCTCATCCAAAAGGCTTCTTCATCTTCAAGAACCAAAAAGATAGAAGTTCCTGCTCCTTAAGCTTTTGGCATAATTATAAGTAACTAATGTTCCACAAGGTTCATAATAAACTAAAGACTCCTACAAACAGCTGAAAGTTTGCTGCTGGTGCTTAGTCGTCTGATTGTTACAGAAGAAAGTGACCTGGCTGCTCATTTAGACGTGAATCCGATGTTTTCAGATGAATCCAGAGCCGTACATGTCTGAGAAGGGGCTCATGTTGTGGGTGTTCATAGCTAATATTTTGGCACATTGGTGTGTTTTTAGGCACATTGCCACCACCTGTCAGCCGGTGGAAGCAGTAAGCAGGATGTACTTTGTGCAACGTAAACTACATGAGAGCTACTTATAAAAAAACTGCTCCATTGGACCACTGAAGGTCAGACACACTGTGAGCTACATGTAAAGATGCCTTGGTAACTTTTTATGGCAATCAGTGGACAGCAGAACAAGCTGTAAACACAGCAGTGACATACTTCTGCCTTATAGAGTTGCAAAAACAATGTCTGTTTACTTCATTACGTTCTTCAGTTTTACCTTCTCCTTTATAACCAATACAGATCTATGGCTGACTGTGTTCACCAGCGAGTAGCTGCCTCTGTCTGTCTGCCACTTGGTTGTTTTAATTTCAACTTTACTGATAAGCGACACAGGAAAATTATGTCTTCATAAGACAGATTCTCAGTCATGATTCCCTGATGAGGTCTGACTAGTTCCTCCACAGCTTCCCACAGATGCTCAGTCGGATCGAGGTCTGGAGAAGTTTGAGCCTGACCTTTTAATCTCTTCTCATGTTCCTTAAACCATTCCTGAGCATTTTTTTCGCTGTGTGGCCGGGAGCATTATCTTGCTGAAAGAGGCGTAGGAGCAGGTGTCAAAGTAGCATCATCATAAATGTTCTCGTAGTTTGATCGTAGCAACTGGACTTGCTTGAGTTTCTTGAAGACGCTGAGTACGACTCAAGTTTAATGGCTCCTTCAGGATATCAGTATCTGGATCTCCCAACTAGTCGGTCAGAACTGATGAAGCCTCTTGGATGAAACGTCTTCAAGGAACTCAAACAAATCCAGCTGCTATAATTAAACTACGAGAACAACCGTGACCTGGATGACTGAGAATCTTCACAGACATCATCATAAATGCTGAAGTCCCGGGTTTCCCAGCAGAAGATTCCTCCTCACCGGGTTTCCTTCTTCTCATCGTGCACCCTGCTGCCATCTCGTTTCCAGGTAAAAGACACAAACACCAAGCATTGCTCATGAGACCAGGCCGACTTCTTTCTTGCTCCGTGGTTCAGTTCTGACACTCAAGTGCCTCAGCCTCTCTATCACAGCAAGCGTTAAGGTTTCCTGCAGTTTGTGCTACAGGAGCGGACCACACGGATATCAGTGGGCGCCCATCGGTTTCCCTTCCTCTGATCGCCTCATGAAGGTACCAACCACTGCACTCGAAGCACCCCAAAGGGTTGCCAGTTTGGTGGATTGTGGATAATTTGTGTTATTCACTTGCATCAAGTCATCAGATTCCCAAGCGTCGGGTACACAGCGTCTCTCTCAGGTGTAATAAAATTATGGAACTAACCGTGGAAACATCACAAAAACCACCGATACTGATGATTGCATTGCTGTGGTCAGCCATCAGACATGCCCACTTCCAGAAATGATGCTGAGGTGTACTGGCTTTCTTGCAGGTTTACTTGAACCTGTGCTCGTTTCCATACGGCAGTCAGGTCTAGTTTGAGCTGCAGGAGGGGACGGTAGTGTTCCAGCAGCCGGTCACTATAATTCACATGACAGAGAGTAATTTGACATAGTTATAAGTATAAACCTTACAGATTAGAGCAGCTTTAACCGTAATGGCTAATGAAGGCACAGAATCGCCCAAGTTGCATTACAAATCTGCTGCTTTGTGTCAAACACCTACGAGAAAAATATGCGCCTCAAGGCTTAAAGACATAAAGGTGTCAGCGGATTCCTTCACCGTGAGAGAAGAAGAGGTTCCGGGGGGTTGGGAGAGCTGTTTGGACTGGAGTCGGCCGACACACAAGTGTGTGATGTGCATGACGTGTGCATTTTCACAGGCATGTCCAGACGGTTCCGGCCTCCCCCTCCCCTCCTGTGTACACAGACCGGGTGCTCTGGTTTCAGCCGGAAGAATAAGCTGCACAGTCGGAGGCCTCATGGGGGCCGAGGCCGGCGCTTCCACCTCCCCCCCACCCTCTCTGCATTCCTTCTTGGGTTAACCCCCTTCCCCCAACGCAAACACAACCGCTGGTGGATCCCTGTTGTGCTTACTGCTCCTAGAACTTACATGGAGCTCGCCAAACCAAACTTTTGGGACCCCACTTTTAAAATTTACCAGATAAAAGGTAAAGTTTACGTCATTAAGCACAACCCCTGTTATTGTTAAGCTGCACTGAGCCAAAAGCTGAAACCTGCACCCTGCATAGGATATTTTGACAGATAAAAAGGTCAAGTTTACTCCATTAAGCACACACAGTTGTAAACATGGGAAAGCTTAACATTTATCATCACCACCGGTTACCTCATTTTGATGAAATGAGTTTAAATGTGCAGAATGTATGTGTGAGCATTTTACACATGAATGAATGAATGTGGTGGTTTACACCTGACCAGACCACAGCAATATCCTCCTTGAAGAGCAACAGGACCCTGATTGTTCTCTGTGTTTGGCTGGTCAATGGCTTTACGGCCTCCCTCCCCCCCGGCCGCCTCATTCTTTGGACCCCCCATCTCCTGAATTGTCGCTGCTTTTGTTCTGCAAATCAGTGATGGGGGATGTGGAGTCGTGGGGGATGGAGGCAAACTTCTTAACACCCAAAACAGCTTCCTGTCAAACACACCCACACATCACTTTCACACTGATTTTTTCTTTTTCTCTTTCACCTCACATTTTTTTAAGAGTCATCACACATCCAGGCCTTCTAACCTCTGATGAATAACAGTGTATGTGGGAAAAAAAACAACAGCACAGCAGCTCAGATTTAGTACAAAAACATTTAATAAATACTGAGGTAGTTGTAGTCATTGAATGTTTACACCTTTCCCCTCTTCAGTCAGCGTGTCAGACACGAACACGCTCCTATAATGTACATTTGCAGTGTAGAGCAACAACCCAGACTGTGCGTAAATGTTCAAGAAAGGCTCGATCCTTCAGTTCCACCTTTGGCCAGCTTAAGTCATAAATAGGCCAAAAGTCAGCGGGGCTGTTACGCACCAGCCGGCTGCTTCCGTGTACCAAGTCCAGACTTGTTCTCAGTCCTATCTGGGACTTTTGGGACGCTCTTTGCAGGGCGTTCATCCAAAACCCCAGGCCATGGACGAGGCGCGCTGTGGCCGCCGTCAGGCTCCTCCAGGCCGCGTCCAGGGAAAACTTCATCGCCTCCAGTGTGCGCCTGGTTTCAACACGCTGCGATGGCTCTCTGTAGGGGAATGGGGTTTCCGAGTTCATTGCCACACTTCACATAGTCCACCAGAACGGCACTGACCAGGAGCTGCTGAGGGCAGTTCACCTGCTCCAGCTTCGCCTTCTTACACGGCAGAAAGTCCGGCTCGGCGGCCGCTTTGCCCCGCCGCTTCCTGGTGTGCTGCGCCGCCGGGCACCGGTTCTCCTTGTCCGCTGCGCTTTTACGCGTCTCCGTGGAGGAAGCTGCGACTTTCTCCTCTGGTAAAGTCCGGCTGGGAGGAGAAACCTGGAGGTCCTGAGCTCCGAGCGGCTCCGTGGTGACCACCTCCGCCGCAGGTTGTTGTTGGTGTTCACATCCCGGCGCTGCGCTCTCCGCCTGGGCCGCGTGGTAGATGTCCCGGGCGGACTTCATGACCAGGGTGAGCAGGAGGCTCCGGTGCAGGCGCAGACCTCCTCTCTGGGTGCGGGAGCTGTACAGTTTCCCCAAAGCCACGACCATGATCCTCTTGGCCTCGGCGCTGACCTCCATGTCCCGGCTTTGTTTTGAAACCAGTCCAGGACAAACAATCACCGTGTTTTGTTGTTTTGGTTTTTGTTTTTTTTTCGCGGTTCGTTCCGTCTTCTCCCCTCTGACTTCACGCACAGACACAATACCGGCGGAGCGCGCGACGGCTACTTATCACCTCGCTGACGTCACTCGCCCTGCGTCATAGGGCCGGCCCCGCCCACAGGCCTCGCGCTCGCGGCTGCTATTCCAAACAGCCGCGCGACAGCTGCTCGACAACTGCTTCTGCGGACGCGCACCGACGACGCGCAGCTTTTCCACCGAGAATGAAAAAGTCTCATTGAGCCTTGTTAGTGTGATGAGGAACTAGAGAACAAAAACCAGCAAAGACAACATCCTCAAAGTATCTGAACACTTTTTTTTGGGAAGCTGATGAGTTATTTCTTCTAAAAAATGAAGAAAAAAGAAAAGATAATCATGCACAAACAAGAATATCTCCACAGTTTGGAATAAAAGTATCAGATTTAGTTGTTGGATGGACGCTTGCATAGGAAGGATGCACAACAGTCATTTATTATTTATTTATCACGTATTCACCTTTGCCGGATTTTGTCACCTATTTTTAGCTCAAAAGTGTCCTGCATGTAAAATTAACTTCTATAGTTTTACTATATGCACAAAGATTTGGATCATTTCCACACATTGGATTAAGGCTGCGTAGCCATTTGATCCTGACTGTTGGTTTTAATGTCAGATATCTTCATTTATCTTTTGCTTCATGAGGTAAAATCTACATTTTAGCATTTTAAATTCACTTTTGAAACCCCAAGAGAGAATCTGTATATCACTCAAACAATGAAACTGTTTATATGGTGCACAAAAAAAAAAAAAAATCAGACTTATCAGACTCCTGTTTTAAAGGCGGATTTGTTCGGCTGTTGCTTCTGTAACAAAAACGAGTTTTAGTTTTATATTTGCACTTTTACATCCTGAGTAGATGCACATGTCAGGTCTAAATTGTATAACTGCTCATGTGATTGGTTAAAACAACAGAAACCTATTTTGCAGCAGGTTGGTTAAGTATAAATAAGTGTAGCTGCTTATTGGCACTTTGCATTTTTCCCCTTTACTTTAAATTTATTACATCTGTACCTAAATAGTGTCCCACATATTGTCATTTATTCAGCTTCATGAAGTTGCACATTTAATCTCTTTGCTTTAAAGAGGATGTGACTGAATTACATATGGTACTTTTATTAGCTAAAAAAGAAGTTGCAACAAATACACAATCAGCACACACATCCAGGAGAAGAATTCTGGATGAAAACAATCTGGAAAAATACAGTTAAATCTTTGAAACGTTAATTCAATTAAATGTTCTCGGGGGCATCAACACTAGTGTTCAGACTGTTTTTTGCAGGTGATAATTTGCAAAACAGAAAAAAGCTCTGTGTGCTGTTAAAATCAAAGAAAGAACTTTATTTAAAAAGCCATTCTGCTCAGTGTGACAAGGAACGTTCAGGAGGCGAGATGCCTGAATCCAAACGGCGAGACAATTCACAAATGCACAAATTCCAGTTGGAACACAAAGTATTTCTGTATTAGGCAATGCCGGAGCAGATAAAGTCTGATCGGTGAGAGGTTTTTCTGTCTATTTTTAGCCGCTCTCTCACAGGGATGAATGCCATTCCACTCCTCTAGTCATCTGGAACAGTCAAGAAAGACTAGAACAGCCTGTGAGCTCCCCTCCGGTCTCACCCATCCCCCCAGTGAGCTGCTTCCTTTCGCAGGAAAGGAGAGAAAAAAAAAAGAGAGATGGGGGAGGTGGTGAGCAGACAGATGCCCATATTAAGCGCATCCGGCTCTTGTGGCTCATGCAGAGGAAAACCCATGACGTGAGTGGGAGCCCTGGTTTCCTGAAGCCATTTAAAGTAACAGTAGGGAGGATTGCGTCAGGGCTCTGCTACTTCCTCAAGACCATATTTGGGCAAAGGAATCCATTCCCTCAGGTTTTATGATGATCAGAAACTGCACATTACCTCCCACTGCACTGATGCTCACAGCTGCCTACGTTTAATATAACACCAACATGAAACCTGGCAGTTCACTCACTTTAACTGCACGTTGTCTCTGCAGATTTTAACCCTTGAGGCCAAACAGGAAAGGGTTTGGGGGTTTTTGTTTTCCTCCGCCAGGCTGCCCTGTGTTTCCAGAGGAATTTATGGCATGCAGGTGATTGCTTCTTTTGTGACTCCAGTCCAACAAAACATCACAAGTTTGCATCTTTTAAACAAGCTGTAACTGCTGGCAATTAAACCACCCAAGGAAACGAAAAGGACATTTCTTTGCTCACACTTACAAATAATTCATAAGCAGCTGGCCTCTTATTTTTAATTGATCAGCTGCATCCAGCTGTATTTCTGCTCTCATTACGTTTCCTACTCGAAACTCCGCACCGCTTGTGGTTGAGTTTCGAAATCGAAAAAGGGAAGAAATTTGGCTTTTGCTTCACTTTTGAGTTGCGGCACCAAAATATGAGTGCAGTGATAGATTAAAGGGTGTCCTCTGGTGGTTGCTTCATGGAACTGAAGCTCAATAAAAGGTACAGTATGTGCAACTGAAGAGCTCATCTGGCTCACACTCCTCTGCATTAAACATTCTTCTATTAATCCCTTTTACTGGAATAAGCTGAAAATAATCATAAAGCATCTAAATCAAAAACAGAAGAAGAAAATACAGAGTTATGCAAAACAGAAAAAACAATAAAAAGCAAATGTAGAACATAAAAACAATGGATTAGTTTCAAGTTTAAATAAAGCAACGCAAGACTTAAACTCAATGTTAAGAATGAAACAGAGAGAAATTGAACAGCTAAGAACAAGAGCTGGCAAGAAATTAAATTCAAATTTATCAGAAAGCCTCTTGAATAAAACAGATCTTCAAAAGAAGACGCTGATAAGAGAAGCTGGAGTTCGTCTGTAGGTCAGTTCATTTCCCTTCAGTCGCCACTTTGTCTTCTGGACTTGGAGTGATCAGATATTTTATGAATCCACTCTTCATCCAGTATCTCATGTGCATCTTGCATGTCTAATGTGCAGCAGCAGTGCATTGTCCCTCTGTCAGTGGGACCTCATTTGAATCTTGCAGAATCCCCCAGATTGCAAAAACAGTCTGGAAGTGGAGGCACGATGCGTTTATTCACAGAAACCAGAGGAGGTGGGCCACAACTGTGGGTGAGGAGTCAGAAGTTGTGAACTGTATTATAAGTCCCAAATGTGTGCAAAACCCCTCATGGCAGCTCTCTGTGAAATCACAAATGTTCAGCTTTCTAAGTCTTTAGGTTCCACCAGAGGGTGCAGCATGTCTCTGAAGAGCAGACGTCTCCTCATTCGGGGTGGAGTCGATTCAGCGCAGGTGTCCAACTCCACAGAAACGCTGTCTAGACGTTAATCCTTTCACTGCCATGTCTCGTATATCGTCTCTGTCATTTCAATCATCTCACACACACACTTCTGTTAATGCAACAAATCTCTAATTTAATCAGTTTGTAGGATTTTTTTGGGGTCTTGTTTCTTCTCCAGGGAAGTGATTTAGAGACACTGCTGGTCCTCTGAGAAAACAACAACAGCTTTTGTTTGATTGGACTTTTGCAGATTGGAGTTTTGCATTTTTGTTTTTTAAATTCTGTAATGAAGATTGATTTATTCAAATGTTGATTTTCTCTCCAGTGGCAACAGAATGTACGTGGGTGTGTATGTAGGTGTGTGTATGTATAGATATGGGTATGTATGTGTATATTATGTATTTTGTCTGTCACTCACATGAAGTCATATTATTTATCATTTTATCGCTTTCTATAAATGTATATTTTTAATATGTTCGAAATAAAGAATTGAACTGAAGTTGATTTACAAAGCTTGATTTAATGCCGTGAGATCTTTCAGTCGGCCTGATCGTACTCTGGATGCAGGAGTTAACATCCAACCAGAAGTACAAGAGAATAGTGTTTAACTATGTCAGACTTTGTGATTATCTCTAAGCTATAGCACAGATTTATGAAAAGGTTTCACTCCTGTATATTAATGAACGTCTAGGAGCAATGCAATAAACAAACTTTTGAGGGAAGTACTTATTTTTTTTTGTTAAATTGTGAACAGCTGCCTGCTCCTGGGTTGCTCAACCAAACGTAAACCGCATAAACTCAAGCATTCATTATATGTGTGGGGGGTAAAAACAAAACAAAGCTCCTCAGAGCAAAATTGTGAAATAATTACTGCCAGCGACCGTTTTCGAATCACATAATCGACTCAGTGTTTATATAAAATACAGCTTAATGCAGCTAAAGCACATGAAACCAGGCTGGAAAGCTGCTTTCTTGGTGCCTGTGTGGTTCGTTACTGTAACTGTGGATGTTGCGGCTCAGTCTTTGCAGTATTTGCAGGCTTCAGGTAAAAATATTCACGGCTGTGCTGCTGAGAATAATTAAAGCAAGTTATGTCCACTTTTAATCTGAGCTGTTGAGCCAGAAAATCTCAAACTGTTGGCACAGTTGGGCCCTTTTGATTTGCAGCCTGTTGTCTTGATCCTGGTGTAACACTGGGTGGTGCACTAACAACGGAAATCGAAGCGACTGTGCTCCGGGCTGTGGTGTTCCTGTGTTTGCTTTTCAAGCGGAGGTCAAAGGAGGTCACACATGCACAAGAAAAAGGAGACGGTGACAAACGGTTCACATCGTAATTCAAAAGGTTACGGCGCTTCTTTGTGAATTTGTTGATCTGATGCAGCACAGAATGAACCACCGTGATCAAAATGCACCAGAATGTTCTTCTCTTTGCTTCTCAAGAGTAAATTTACACTGATAGTATCTCTAAGTGGTGCCACATTTATTATGTTAATCACTTATTTAGAAACGGTGAAAGCACAGTGACAGTAATAATCATGTTTAACTTCATATTTCTGCCATATTTTACTGTTTTTTACTGAGTGCTTTGCTGTTGAAGAGCCTGCCAGCGATCTGTAGCCACATGAGGCAGCTTTTCTTTTTCAAGCATGTAAAGTTCTGTATGTCAAGTGTGAAAGCAAAACTACAACCAAATGAAGGCAAATGTGGGGGATAAAGCATGAAAACATGTCATACATGGTGGCTTCCAGGTGTGAGCAGTGATGTGAAAGATTCACAGAATGAGCATTTTATTTTTTCTTCCTGTAGGTTTATGAAAACTGCTCACGACAGTCATTAACATTAAACTATTAAAACATCTCTATACAGTGGTTTGTGTAAAACACACACACACACACATATATGGCTGAAAACTGATCTAACAAAAAAAAAGCAATGCTCCATTTTCTATCAGTTTTTTGGTTTTGATATTTACTTTTTTTTAATATATATATAAGCAGAAAGTCAGTTTTGACCTTCTGGTTTCAGTAATTTAATTCTACATGAGTGTTCAACACAGTATGTAGAACCAAATACAGGATTTAGAATAATTCACAGCATTAGTCATAAAAAGTAGAAGATAAAATGTAAAGATTTCAGATCCGACTGTGACTAAAGGTACAGGATGCACACTGATAGTCAGACTTTTTTTTTCTTTTTGTGTTGTAATGAAGAACAATCAGCTACATGCAGAGTTTATATCACTTTACTGAACTTTATTTACACTTAGTTCCCAGTTTTTCTGTTTATCTCAAACTCAGCAGTCTTATATCTGCAATACATTGATTTAAAAAGAATGTATTTTTTAATTTTTTTAATTTTAGAAAGTCCACTTATTTAAATCAATTTATTTATAGTATAAAGTGCCAATTTACAACATGATTCATCTCAGGACGACCACACAATGTTGTATTATAACAGCAGAATGTATATTTATTTTATTTTCATATTAATACTTAATATTTTATTGTATATTTTCACTTTTCTACTTCTTTTGAGACTTTTGATTGGGAGCATCTGTAACTGAAAGCAGTTTCCCCTCGGGGATCAGCAAAGTATTTCTGATTCAGATTCTATAATGGGAAACCCAATAAATCAGAGGGAATGGTCAGATTTATTACCAGGAAGAAGGGTGGCTATCTGCCTCCACCAGCTAGGGTGAGGTGAACAGGAAACACTTTTAAAATTACTTATCATTTGAAATACCGTAAGATGAAATAAGTAGTGAGCAAGAAGGAGCAGTTTTATAAAAAGTTTGTTTCTAATGACCACAAAACAAACAAAAAGTTGTTCCAAAAAAAAAAAAAAAAAGGAGTCAGAGAGAAATTGTTACAAATCTTTTTATTAAGATATTCATTATTTAATCCATTTTTGACATTTTTCTCTATGATTTGTATTTATTTATTTTACAGTCGTTAATGTGCAATTACCTTTGATAATGTCGGGTCACAGTTACAGGGCTTTTCACGAAGAAGTTATTGGCACTTGGAACACAGAAAGAAGAGGATGAGCGGTACAGGAGGTCCACTGGTGCTACAGGGTTACAGAGGGCAAGGAGCAGGGGCAAAGACATGGGCCGACCACTTACTGCACAGGCTGTGAAGAAGCACTGTTTCTGGGTAAATATATACCTCATGCTGCGAGTGCACCACAAACAATCTATGTGTGCGTCTATATATAATATACAGTATTTATCTATACATGTATATAATCATATTTATATATGTACTGTTTAGTGACAAAAGGTTCCCCATGCCGTGCCACACCTTATCCATTCAAGTGTGTAGGTCTACATGTTGTGTGAAGTGTAAACAAGCTACAGAAGTTACAGTTTGCTTTTCAATGTGCTGAAAAAAAACAAAACCCAAAACGCTTTCTGTTCTCAAAGTAAAACGGACTCGCGCACCCATTGAAGATGAAGCACTGTGCAAGAAGGCCGCGAGCGAGGGACTTTTTGGACGTCGGCGAGGTTTACTGGATTGGCCCTGAAAGCTAACTAAAAATCCTGTCGTGTACCGTAACTACGCTTATTTCCAGCTGAAGTCCACGCTGTTGCCCTGAACCAGTGTTTAGAAGTAGTCTGAGCTGGTGAGGCGAGTCGTCCTCACCGGGTCGCTTCTGGTTTTGGTTGAGTCGATTCAGTGGTGATAATTTAGCGCTCGACTCAGAAGCTGCTCAGCCGGTCGCTTTGCAGCACTGCAAGAAATTCATTCATTGCTTCGTTCTTTTCTTTTTCGCAGGGGACTCGCTGTCTTTTCACTTCAAAACACTTGGCAGAGACTGACTTTGGTGTCGTCGCGCTCAAAAAATGCGACACGCTCTCCTACAGATGCGTATCGTGATTCAGACGGAACCACCTAAAACCGCCTCCCTCCGAAACACATGAATAAACTTGTGGAAGTGAAACACGACACCAGCTGCACGGAGGACAGAAAGCACAACAGTCTTCAGAGATACTGTAGAGGTATGTGGGGGAGGTGGTGCTCGTGTGGCATCTACAGTCGAATGCTAAACTGAGGTTTTTCTGTTATTACTGAATACTCACAAGGTACTGCATTTTATTCTATTTCATTTTTTTTTGTTCTGTCCATAAACTCTCCCAGTTAAACCACCCAAAGTCAAGTCATCCTGTAATGTTAGACACTAACAAAAATAGTCATAATGCATCCATCATGCTTGGAGTTATTGTTTTTCTGTAAGACTGAGAGCAGTTTCTAACTCCGCTGCCTCGGATAGGAAGCATTTACTCCTCGCTAGCTTTTACTCTGTACCCGTCTTCAGAAAAATAGAACCTTTTTAAGAATTGCCTTTCCGGAAGGAGAAAGAAATCAGTCGTTTCAGTTAAAGAACACATTCCAAGTCAAAACCCTGACGACTTCCATTTTTATCCACCTGAAACGGGAACACTGAATCCCCTGAACTGACTCGGCACGTGCATTAAAAAGGGTTCTAGCAAACACCAACTTTCACATAAAAAAAACAAAACAAAGGTCAGTTAATCATCCAGCAACAGAAAGAAGGAAGAACACTTGGGATTTAACTCAACAGTCTTCTTGATTATTTACAGTTGCAGTTTGTGCCACGTCTAAACAAGAAACACAAGCAGGCATGGAAATAAAAAAAAAAGAAAAAAAAAAAGACAAATTCCACCTTAAGGGGTTTGATTGCTACACAACATTTCTCAAGAAGGTGCTCGAACCACTGGTTCTTCTCTTTAAGGTGCAGAAACCACTTCTCTACTGCTCATGGAAGGTGCAAAATCGTTTCAAACTCCACTTTTGAATTTCCAGATTACAAGAGGTGGTGCGTCGGATACATGAACAAACGTAGGTTTGGAGAGACGCGTCTGCACAGCGCAGACCCGCCTCGTCGTGAAGCCTGTTTGCTTTTATTGCCTCCTTGTGACATCACTGTACCCACCAGCTTCTGCTTATTGATTTCAATTAAAAAGGCACGTTCCAATATCCCGTAAGTATTCCTCGTGACATCTGCGTTGGTGCAAAATGTCACTTTTTTTTTTTTTTTCCCCTCTTTTCAATAATTTTAGCACAAAGACAAAACTAGCTAAGTTGTCAGATCAGTATAACCTTTAAATTTCTACAAGCAATCTTCAAAATTATGGGCCAATGTCTTTATCAAAGGAGACAAATGTTGCAGGTTGACAATCTAAGGAGACACGGACATCACAGACACAGTCAAGCCAGCCGAAGCAGTCTTATTAATCCTTTTAAGCGAGTGAACAGAAGATGAAATGTGTCAAATTTAGCAGTTCAACTGCTCATTCCATCACTTTCACTGTAAGATAAAGATAAAAATAAATGACAGAGGTTCCTATGATAAGACTGCTTTATTATACTCCTGCAAAAATAGCACTTTAACCCTATTCGACGGTACCTCTTTCAATAAAAGCTGAATATCGAGATTTTAAAACAATCCCTCTCGCTCTCTTCGCTCACACCGCTCTAGGCATGGGCACTTGTATAAATATAGTTTGTCTTCTAAAAATATGACCATCTTTGATTACCTGTTGCCCTTCGATTTACTTTACAATCATCTTAGTAAAAAGCCGTCTCCCCCGCCTCTCTGGATCACTTTGTTATTTGTTTTTCAGTTCGTAGACAGAGAACAACATGCTAAAAATTTAGAAAACAGAGAAAGATGAGATATATTTCTATAAGACACCGCACAGTGAAACACTCAAGTGAGATTCTCTGGTCTCGAGGAAGGTGAGGTGGGTTGAAGGATACTTGCAGGGTGATGAGTGGAGGATGCAAGGGGAGGAAGAACAGGTAGTGTTAATTTGTTTTAATAATGGATCTACTTTAAATTTAGTTCCTTTTCCCGAGGCTGGAGCACAAGTTGTCAGGCTTGCATAGAGAGAAATGCCACCGACGCTTACATTCAACACACTGGTCAGCTTTACTCCCGTCCCTCCTTCCTCCTCAGGCTGCCCCGGTAACTCCCCCCCACCACCCGCACCTCAGGGAATGTATTTAATTTGCAACAGTGGATGCGCTTACACACCTTAAAAAGACAAGGGGAGGCAGAGGGCAGTCAGGAGCGAACTAAAAGACTCCCCTACGCTCTCCCTTTTTCTCCACTAACTCCGTTATACAGTCATAAAGCAACAAAATGTTCACGTCCTGGTTACATCAGGGCGACGACCCCTAGCAGTGTAGTATAGACAGTCAAGATGTGAGAGATCAGCCAAAGAGTGAGGAGGCAAAGCACAACTGGGGAATACTGGTATGTGCGTCATCAAAACTCAACCTTCCCCTCCCCCCGCCCCGACTGGACACAGTGTTCAAAATAACGGTCCTCCGTCCCCGCCCACGCCGGTTAGCGATTCACCTGAGGAGCCGCCCGACTCCATGCCCGCGCCGCCGGTGGCCTCCAGCGAGGCCGGGTCGAAGGCGGGGTCCGCTCCCAGCGCGTCGTCTTCCGTCTTGACGCCGTCGGGGAGGAAAGCGGTGTAGGCGTCGCTCTCGGCCATCAGCAGCTTCAGCTTGGGTATCCAGCTCTTGCGGACCACGCGGCGGGCGTTGGTGCACATGTCGGCGGCGATGGCGTTCATCTCGCTCTCTTTGAAGCTGGTGGCGAAGTTCTGGCAATAAACTGGCAGGAGGAAGAAACAAAAAACACGATTAGACGGACGCTAAAACACTTTACTAATCTGTAAGGAGAAGTTTGGTTTAAAGAGTAAAGTTAGCACCACTGTACATACTGATAAATAAAAATATCCATCCATCATCTATACACCGCTTAATCCTCATTAGGGTGGTGGGAGTCTATCCCAGCTGACTCAGGGTGAAGGCAGGAGACACCCTGGACAGGTCACCAGTCTATCACAGGGCCACACTTAGAGACAGACAACCAAGCACACTCACATTCACACCTACGGACAATTTAGAATCACCAATTAACCTCAGCCTGTTTCTGGACTGTGGGAGGAAGCTGGAGAACCTGGAGAGAACCCACGCTGGAGAACATGGAGAGCACGCAGAAAGATCCTGGGTGTCCTCACCGGGATACAAACCGGCGACCTTCCAGCTGCGAGGCAACGGTGCTAACCACCGAGCCACCTTACAGCCCAAGTAAAAATAAACAATAAAAAAATATAAAATGCACAGTAACAACCCAACAAACTCACCTTCTACTACTCATGTTTTTCTAATCTATCGTCCTCTCTTATTCTCGTATCTTTATATCAACCATCATGAGGCAGAAGCTTCACAAAATGTGGATTTAAGGTAAATTCTATGAGTATGAAATCACTACGGCTCTAAATGCTGCATGCATGTGTGTACAAAGAAGGGTTTGACTTCCCCTCATGTTTAAATCAGCACCTCACGCCTTTACTTCTTTAAATTCTGCCGTTATATTCCACCAGTTTCAGATAATCGTCGGTTCCTGCTCTGCAGACGGGGTCATAATCTCCCACGAAACAGCTGCCAAATCAATTATTAAGCTCTTCTGTCCGTTTTCGACGCTTATTATCTTAAACCTTATTATCATTCTGCGGCACGGAGTACAATTTACGACCCCGGCTTGTGAGCCGTGACCCCCGACAAAGCAGCGATTGTTTTGTAGATTGATTTCTGATGAAAAGTCGACTCAAGAGAAACAAACTTCATCCACTGAGGTTCTGGTATCATGTAAAGCGCAGAGAGGATTTCCACAGGCAAGTTCAAAGATATTCAAAATACTCTGATTTGAAAGGTAATTTGTGTCTCATGTGTATTTTTATACAAATGAGAAGTTCAACTGCGCGGTTCTTGAAATTTCATTTTTGCCAACTTCCTCATTGAAAATCTAAATCATGTCTATTCTCAAAACAAACTTCACTGAATCACACTTTACTTACATTTACAGCAGAAGAATTTTTTTACATGTCAACATATATCTGTGCAGGAAAAGAGAAATATCTAAAAAAAAATAACATGAATAGTGCCAAGAGAAAAGGGGTAGTTCAACATTTTGGGAAATAAACGTCTTGTGGTTGATTTATAAGAGAAGATTGACATTTTTACTCACTGCGGTCTGGTTTTTTTTTTTTTTTTTGCTGTAATATAAAGTCCTGCACAATCCAAAAAAAAAAAAAAGCAAAAGTCAAGCTTCTTTGACTACTCATGTCACAAAAATGTAAATAACGTTGAATGAATACGAACAGTTTGTTTCCATATTTGTCTCCTCTCTGTGAATTTTTGTCTCATGACTGCTGGTTGCAGCTCAGTCTGTCATAGCTTCCTGGCTGCATCAAGGACAGCAGAATTTTTTGTTTTTTACAGAATTAGGTTAGACCAAACTGGGTTTTTTTGCGCAATTTTTTCACTCTGATACCTGCTGTAATTTTAAAAGACGTCGTATTTTTCAAACCTGCAGGTGGATTTTGGGGTTCAGAGGGTTAAACGCAAAAGTCACGTTTGTTTATCGTGGAGCGAAGACTGGGACAGGGAGAAGCTAAATGGCAATTAAAGGACAAACAGGAGAGACAGATCTCTGAACAGATGCTCATTTTACTAATGAGTCGTAAGGAAATTAATCTTGGCAAAGCCGTCACAAGAGTTCTCGGGATTTCTGTGCAAAGCAGGACGCTGTATACATCCAGATAACATGGAGGCTGTCTGCAGGCAGCGTCTCGTCTGAGGGTGAATGTTGCTATCTAGTGGTCACTGTGAGTTATTGTCTAATGCTAATCATGAGGCTGCAAATTATCAAAAACACCACAAAGCGACACTTCTTTTTAGGAAAGAAGTGAAGCACGAAGCAGCACAAAAAGCAGCAGCGGCGGCGGCGGCGTCCTTTGGAGTGATGCTGTGTTCACGTACAGCACGAATGCATGTACATTCCACTCTCTCTCTCTCTGACCAAATGCACAAATTGTCTGCGTGCCTGTGGGCAAACACCCTCAGACTGACAAATATGCACACTCACATTTGACTGCATGGAGCACTCTGTTGTCCAGGGGTTTGCGGCTCGGGTCGTTGGTGGACGAGCGGATGCCGGTTCCGCAGCTGTTGGCCAGAGTATTCCTGGTACAGAGGGAAACAAAAATAGTTGCTTTATCCCTCTTATGTCAGCAGATAACTTTAATTTCTATAATAAAACTAAGCTTTTTTATGTCCTCATCCTAACTTTACATGAAACACTTGCATAAATAGACACACACAGAGGGAAGGAACAAACCTGTCAAAGAAGGCGGCCAGCAGCCTCCTCAGCAGCACCTTGTGTCTGGTCCCCGCGCTCACGTGACAGTTCATGAGTTGGGCTCGCGATATATACACAGAAGTACCTGCAAAGAAGACGCGTGCAGAGCATTAGCGATCCGCAGCGCACTCAGCTCTTTATTTTACAGTTTTTAATCACCTCTTAGGACGTATTTACAGTCTCACTTTGCTCTGGTTTTATACAGCAACGATAAAGCCACAATCTTTGCTTTCCTTTACTGGAATATGTTTATCTAGCGCCGGCTCTGATTCATATCACATTGCAGCTGTAGGTGGGGACAGACGAGGCCCTGCTCTACCTACATGTCACAGCGTTGAGCTTTGACGTCGCCTCTTTCTTTTTTCTGTTTGATTTTTTTCGCCTGATTTGTGCTTTCGATTGTTCCATCTTCAGATCAATACCAGCTACAGTTTATTCCCTTTCATACTCTGAGTACATTTCTTGGATATTTATAATTCACTATTGCCGATACTTGCGCTGCATATTTCATCTTTTTTCTCTCTATATTTCTCTCCTCTGCTCTGTCGCACACAGGCAGGAATGTAAAGTGAAAGGTGTAATCCAGCCCGTAAGGTAACACAGATATTGTCACAGGATGTCCTTGACATAAACACACCGAGTCACATGTGCAATACGGCCCTGCATGCCGATGCCAAGCCCCAACAGTCATCTGAGGACAGCGTCCTCTCAGTGTGTGTATACATATCAGCGCCCTTTGCCTCGTCTGTATAGATCCCCTGAATGAAGCCAGCTTGGTATATTGCAGCACGATTGTTTTATTGTCCAGCTGTACCTTCAATGATAACAATAAAAACGCACCTCATACGGCACAACAACGCTATAAAATGCTTTACTTGAGCTGAGCGAGGATTAAAGCAAAACTGATGAAGCAGATTAAATCATTCGCTAAAATAGTCCAACAATAGCATCAAACAGTGAGACAAATAGGATATAAACAAGGAAAAGGACAATAATGAAACAAAAAAAGACACACTGGTAATATGTCTGTGTGCTCGCAATAATAATCTGTTTTGAGAAGTGCTGAAGACGAGGTTACTAAAGAACTAAAGCAGTAAAGCTGCCACATAAATGAAGACGAGCTTTAAAGGTAAAATACTCAAGTTAGATCTTGTCCTCAAATATTTGTTTAAACTGAGAAGCTGCTTCTTATAATAGCTGAAGACGAGATAGTTTATTGAACCTGAATTCAATCAGTTGCAATAATTTGACAATAATCTGATATGAAAGTCTGTGAATTGTCTGAAGTGGGTCAAGAGGAAATAAATGATTTGTGAGATGCTCCTCAGCTGAATAAAAACAAACTATTTTTTCGTGCTGATTTCAAGCAAAAGTCACCATCAAACATTACATCAAGATCTCTGATTAAACTACGACAAAGGAGCTAAAATAATTTTGTAAAATTTGGACAGACTTGGGGAGGACCAAAAGGAATGATTTTAAATTCATTTTATTTAGTTGTAAAAGGTTCAGGATATCCAGAACTGTTTTCCTGTTGAAGCACACGTACCTGAGACTAACTCCAGTTTCTCAGCAGGGTCTCCTTCCTCGTACAGTTTGGGATGACAGCGGTTTCCTATCTGAGCGATGAGTTCTGCGGGAAGACACGTGAGATCTCGGCCTCGCATCCGACCCCGCGTCTCTGTGTGGTCTGGCAGCGCCTCCACACGCTCGCCAGCTGCTGTGGAAAACCGTGTGGCAAGCTTTAGAGCACTTCACGCTTAAACCCACAAAACACTTTGTGCAAACCAGGAATACAAACAGAGATCTTATTTATGTGGATCGTTTGGTGTGAAGTCCGTTACCTGCAGCTCCCATGTTGAGCATGCTGTACATGGTGTACATGTTGCAGATTTGCCTATACTGCTCTTCAGCACATTCATCTGTCCCCTCCTCTTCTTCCTCGTCATCGTGGTAGCTGATGGGTGAGTCACTAGCGTAGGTGCTCAGGGTGCCGGGACTGGCGCCCTCCGACATGCCCAGCACCGTTGCGGAGCTGCCGTTGGTGCCTGCGCTGCCGCTGACCCCGCCGCTGGCCACCATCCCCGCCAGGCTGGTGGTGGTGGCGCCCATGCCCATGGCCAGTCCAAGGGCTCCGGGGCTCTGGATGGCGCTGCCCCGCACCACCTCCTGGGAATACCGGGCCGCCTTCCTGGCCCCTCCTCCGCCTCCCGAGCCGACCCCACCCGTGTCCCGGCTGCTGCCACCCTCCCACAGCCGCTTGGCCACGGGAGTGCAGACCACAGAGTACGGAGTGGCTGCTTCCGGCTGGCTGGCCGGCTGCTCCGTCTTCACTCGGGACACCAGAGGCAGCGGCGTCAGGCAGGAGGCGGGCCGGGCGGCGCTGTTGCTGGTCTGCGTCACTGGGCTCTGGGGCTCCGAGGTTGGGGCCTCCTCTGCATGGAGGCCCTGGGAGTCGCAGCTGGGAGAGGATACCTGGAAATGACATCAGTAGACATGAGCACTTAGATGAACCAGCAGAAACTCGGCGGCTCCTGAGGTCAGCCTGACTGTCAAACAGCCCGCCACAAAACACAAACCTCGAAAAAACCCTTCCTGCTTATTTTGGTAAAAGTGTTTGGTTTGTGCTTCTATACAGTTGATGTCAGTGCAATTAGGTTTGTGTGTTTAAATCTTCTCTTCTTTTTTTCCCCCAACATGTCCCAGCTTTTCTGCTACTTTACTGGTTTGACTACTCAAAAACACTTTACCTTAAGGAAGAATTCGGTGCCTTTTTCCATGATCTGTTGGATCTGCAGGAAGCCGGCGGTATACATGAGGAGGAACTGGTCCCCCACCGTCATGCTGAGACGGCCCGTGTAGCAGAAAGCCAAAATCTGCTGGAAGCTCTGGGGCTGCACGGCCGGCGGGAGCTCCACGACGGTCGGGCTCGACTCGATGCCGCCGCCGTCGCCGTTGCTGCTGAAAAGGTCCCGGAAATAAGAACTGCTGGCAGCCAGGACAGCTCGATGAGCCTGAGACAAAAGGTAAAAACAGGGATACAGCCAGTTAGACGTATTAAATGTACGATTTGGGGTATTTATTGATAAACAAACAGCCTGATTTATTTAGGGCTAGATATAATTAAAATTTGCGAGTTTTGGTACAAACATTTTTTGGGAGCTTGTTTTGCTGTATGTATGCACTTTTCTTCCAAAACAAAAAATATTTAAAAGAATAAAAAATACTTTTCGAATTGATTTAATTTGTGTAAAACAGCTGCAAGAAATATATAGTCTTAACTTGACAGAAACATCAATCAGACTAAGTAAAGAAGACAAAGACGTTGTGCCAGTTTTTGCTGAGTTAATTCCAGTCAGCATTTAACTGTTGTTCTCTGCTCAGCCAATCATTTGATTTATATATTAATTTAGCATGTCCTCAGAAAGGCTTCAACGAATTCTCTCAGTGTTCTTGAAAAGAAAGCCATATTTTAAAACCATCAGTCTTGTGGTTATTGAAATTTAGAGGCTATAAATTTAAACAAATGAACTAATGACATTATTCATTGTTGTCCACCAGAGTGACAAACTAGAAAAGTAGTGAAGGAACGGAAATGTTTTCTTTTGCGTATGATTTAGGCATTTTGGTGTTTGTTTACAACAGACTTACAATGAAGCATTGTCAGCCACAGTTACACAAAGAAAATCATAAAAAGTTACCCAACTTCCCCACAACTGTCCAAACAGGACTTCTTCTAAAGAATAACGGCCTTCAATGCAACACGACCGCCACAGGCCTGTTTACACTCGTGTCTTGACTTCTCCAATTTTAACCTTCAGTCAGTGGAGTGCAGCTGCCCCTGTGGGAGCGACTTTACGGTTCTTCTGTACCTTGAAGGTGTGGCCTTTGACCACCACGGAGACATCGCAGTAGAGGCCCTGCAGCCGCTGCTCGTTCAGACACTCTAAAACGTTGTTGCCAAAGTTTGGGATCGCCATCTGGAGGGTCTGGGCCATGGTGCGCCTACGCACACCACCAAAGGGTCTTGTCGGGGGAAGAAAGAGAAAAACAAAGAGAACAGAAGAAAAGAGAGTGAATAAGTTATAACCTGTCTGCACATGTAGATCCACACACCGGTTGTTAGAAGTCACACTGTGTATACCGCGGCTCAGCAAATGCATCGTCGCTCCTAAACAGGCTGGTATTGGTTTAACGCTGGATATTTGTTTAACTTGGGCAGCTCTATTTTACATAGCTTCATTGCAGAGCCAGATTTCCATCCTGTAAGTTTCCATGAGATGGATTTCGTTTGTGCCACAACAAAGCATAACGTAAGCAACTTAAAGTGTTTCTGATTCTGACAGTTTCTCCCCTTTAAGATCATTAACTGCAGCTCACAGAGTAACACTTCGGCACACTGGTTACGCTGCTTTATGCAGGATCGTGGGCCCAGCTGGCACAACGTGGATAGAGCCATTCACAACAATGACAAAAACTGTTTTATCTTGTGCTGCATCTTTGGTGCGAGGAGCGTTTCAGTAGCCAATGTGAGGAGGAGGTGCGATCTAACGGGGCCGTGTTACAAGACAGAAAGCTCAAAGAGAAACAGACCTAAAGCAAACCAGGTGAGGAATGTCAGACTCCTGCATTAATAGGCACAATAAAATGGCTGACAGTCTTTCATTAGTGCCAACTGCTTCCAAACATACACTAAACCCTATTTTTATTACGCATATGGCAAATTATTTACAATCAAATGCCTCTATTGTGGAGAAAAGTAGCCCCGAATAAGAATTATATCCCCTGGCATATCGACACGCGCCACAAATATTTCTCCACATAGTCTTACTGAGGGCTTTTGGCAGGCTGATATTTAAGTTTTGTGAAAACTTCCACGGATAATCTACGTTGCATTAATCCTATACGTCACTTCAGCCTTGCAGTGGTTGTTATTGCCAGGGGCAGGCTCAGTAAAAGCCTTTTTATTTTCTGTCTTCTGTGAGCTATAAAATCCTGTGTCCTTAGATAACTGGGTCACGTTCTGTTATTCTATGTGCAATAGTGTGTGTGTGTGATTGTGTGTGTGTGGTTTTGTGTGTGTGTGTGTGTGTGTGTGTGTGTGTGTGTGTGGCCTAAACAAAAACCACATAGCATGTTTCCATTCACTTCAGTCAACAGTCAAAGCAAACATACCCCCTTGCCCTGTACCTTCTCTAAGACTGCAGCATTATGCCTGTCAATATTAAATTAAAGCCAACCAATGTTCCCTCTGCTGTGTACTTGCAGGTTTATAGTACAGCACTGCGAGATGCTGTGAGGATATGCAAACAAACTGAGAAAATATTGGATTTTTAGCATTTGTATGCATGCATTGCCTCACTCTGCCGGGATCCACATGATCGCATATGCCCTCTGTACCCTCAACCACTATATTACCCCCTACAATAAGAGCCCAGAACACAGCGGATCCATTGTTCAGCCCACATGGCATCTCATTGCCCACAAACCTTGACTTAAAGCAGAAGACATGGGATTTCCATAGATGCACAGAACAGTTTACAGCATGCACAGCTTTGGGTGACTTTTGTCACAGAAGTGTTTTACCACTTAAAAGTGTTGCACAAATGCACGCTGCACATGATGCACGCCCAGAGACGGCATTGCTATGACAGCAAAGTGAACGAAGGCCACCCTGTCGGAGGCAACACGACCAACTTTGGTGCGACCGACCGACGAGGGCCGGAGCGAGCCACCCCATCATATCCAAAGCCTTCCATTTGGGACCTCGCCAAGCTCCAGGGTAAAGAGAAATGCTCTCTTTGTCTCCGTCTCACTCAAGCTCCCTCTCCCTCATACTAAAACACAGATGCGCACACACACACACAAACTCAAACAAACCCACAAAAGGCACACTGAGTCACACACAGACATTAGACAATACTGCTTGTTTACAGTTTGGCGAGCCGCAGTAAGCACACATGCGTGCACATAAAGACACACAAGCAGCCGGGGGTTGAGAGCAGGGTGTGTTTGCACAGTTTGCCCTGACAGTGAGAGAGAATGTGGCTGTGTGTGTGTGTGTGTGTGTGAGTGTGTGTGTGTGCGCCTGTACATGTGTGCGCTAAGGAGGGGCGAGTGGGGCCTGCAGAGATGAGAGGGATCATCTCAGGTCCTTATTCCATTAAAATATATAGAGTGCAGCAATGCGAGCTAAATGAAATTCACCCCAACTCACCCCTGTGGCTTAAGATCTCCAACCAACCAGTCAGCCTGGGGAGGAAAAGTAGGTCAAACATGCTCACAACATGCGGAAGTTTTAGGAATATTTTGCCTGCATTCACATTTCTTCTGATATGTTATGATGGGACAAGCTTTCACACATATCCCACGCTGCCTGCCCGCTTTCCAGTTAATCCAGTTCTGCCACTGGCACACAGCATGGGCTTTTAGATCTGCTATGTGAATGATTACTGTGGAGTCATTGGTGCAGCTGGCACACAATGCATTCCCTCTATAGGCATTTCCTGGTTCTCATGTGCCCATGCATGCATAGCGCAAGTCAAGACATACACACAGGCCCTTATTCTTACACAGCAACAACAAAAGGAGAAATCTGAATATCAAAAGCACATGCAAAGTAGTCTCCATATGTGCAGAAATGTTGGAAAAGGATGTGGAGCTCTTTAACGCACTGGGATGACCGCTCCAGAGGAGGAGGAGGAGGAGGAGGAGGTTGGGAAGTGGAGGGGAGGAGGAGGGGGGGACGCACGGGATGGCAGCGAGCCCCGGTGATACCCGGCTGAAGGCGACGGTGTGTTGCTGTTTACAAACGCCAGTCAGGTAAATTAGTTTAAAGCGCACACCGGACTGGAAGCCCGGTGTCCCCGTTCCTCGTGGTTCGCCGTGCGCTCCGGTGCCTCCGCAGCCGGGCCTATAGGAGGCGGCTAACTGCTAAGCTAACAGCGGTGTTAAATATTTTTTTGGGTTTCGCCCCGGCGGCCGCACCATCCACCTCAGCCCGGCTGCACAATGTCAAGCATTTCCGCGACGGAAGAAGAAAAAAAAAACAAAAAACAAAACAACAACAACAACAGACAAACAAGACACTTACTGGCTGAGCGGATGAGGTAGCCGCGCTGCGACGCCGGGTTATTTAGTGAAAGCAGCCCCCTTAAAAAAAAAAAAATGTTGCTTATTTAAATATTTTGGTGATGGGGGAAATCGCTCCCCCTGCCATTCTCCGTTCTACCGACATCAACAGGTCATCCCAGGACACGCAGCAGCTGAGGGCGAGCCAGACGGAACCAGTGCGGCACGGAGCGCAGGGGGGGCGGGAGCACAACAAGGCACAGTTCTTTGCAACCGGCGCTCGCAAAAAAAATGGGCCAAAATCACACCGAAAGCATACAAAAATCCCTCCTCGCCGCTGTATTTTTTGCACATTTTCGTGAAGCCGATCGCGTAAAAGCGCCACACGCGCCGATCCGCTGTTTTGATTAACCTGGAAAGAGAAAAAGTTTGGATCGTGCCAAAGCCCACACCGACCCGTCCCCTCCAAGTTATCCCAAACTTTAATTGTCCCGTATCTGCTGGACCGTTCATCATTCCGCGGTGCTAAATAATCCAACCCTCCCTCCCCCTCCCCACCTCCTCCTCCTCCGCTGCTCCTCCGCTGCCGGTGGAAACTCAGACGACCCCGGTCAGGACGCGGCACACGGCGGCCAACACGCACAAAAGAGACACTCACCGCCGTCTGTCGCTGCGGGAAGCTGATGCTTAGAGCCGTCGGTTCACAGGAGGAGACGCGGCGCTCTCTCTCCCCGTTTGCTCCCCTCGCTCCGGGCAGCCATTCAGTGCGAGCCGAGCGGCGATAGCAGAGCCATCGAGGGCGGTACAGTATCCCAGGGGATTGCGGAACGCAGAGCCACTGATCGCACGGAGCAGGAGAGGAGGAAGACGAGCATGACGCGCTCGTCGTTCAATCGCATGATCGTTCCGAGCGCAGCCTCGATTTGGGGGGGAGACCTATCCCGACGGCGGAGACTGTTTGCGCATTGGCACAGCAGCAGCAGCAGCAGCCTGCAAGGAGAAGCAGCCTTCCTCTCTCTCTCTCTCCCTCCCTCTCTCTCTCTGCATCTGAGCGATAGATTTGGGAAAAGTAGGCCGCGCATGGACTTATTTAACTTGAGTGAACTCGCATATAAAGTAGGAATAAAGCCGCGCCCTTGCTGGCAGTAAACAAGTGACACTCTATGTGCAGAATGCTGCTCACACCTACACATTTGCTCAAGTTTACGCATTATTTATGGCACCTTATAGAACATGTTAAGGCCTAATCCAGCCCTCTGCTTTATCACCAGCATAGCATTCCAGTCATTGTGGTATTTTTTTCTTCTTTCCACCCTCATGTGAATATGGAGGCACAGCACATGTCCATACATATTTCATGTGCCAGCAGAAACATGGAAATTTCATCTCTGGAGTTATGAATAAATGCCATCAAAAAACAAAAAACAAAAAAAAAAAGCAATTCTTGGCATGGCAGCAATAAGAATTGGGCATGATACAACATCATGAAATAGGAACTTCCTTGGAATGTGAGGAAGCAGCAGGACAGTTATTGGTTATGTTACAGCATGGAACATATAGAAAAATACAATTGCATCTGATTTTTTAAATTAATTTATCAGTCTACATGGAGTCTCTACAGCAGAACGGACATCACGGAACAAGTCAGCACTTATATTGGCACTGACAAAGGACAGTAAGCAATGTTTGACACATAATAATGCACTGATAAACACATTCATCTCAATAGCAAGCTCATCAACTTGTCCAATAACTGAGCCTAATCACTTAAAACTCTCCCCAGTGAAATAAAAAAATATCCCCCCTGCTGTCTGATGCTGCAGCTGTTCAATAAACTCAGAGGAAACAATCCTACAAACAGCCTGGAAGCAACAAACTCAACTCCTGTAGGAGCGTCGACAATCTGTTTTCATCGCAGTTAAGTTTTATTTTTAGGGAGATTTCAGTGAAATAGTTGAGCAAACTGAACGTGAACGGTGTATTTCCTGATTGCGGTGCACAAACTGTCCCTTGATGAGAGGATTGTTGCTGCAACTTCTGCAGAAAAGCAACCAGGGTGCTCACACATATCAAATATTTGACTGAAATGAACAAATTAAAAGTCTGAACAGGAACCGGAGCTGCCAGGAGGGGAAAAGGGTGACCAAGTAAATGAAAATTACCGAGCAATCAGGGGGATAAAACAGGGTTTTATTTATTACACTTCAACAAAAAGTCACAACATCTAAAACTGCAAGTGTGTTGTAGAATATTTAGAATAATCCAACATAACCCAGATAGAACTGAAGAAAGTGAGCCGGAGCTGCTCTGAGAGGCAGACTTTCACTGCGGAGTGCCCAGGGGTGCTACCATTTAAGTGTCACAGCCAAGAAAATAGTGCAAACTACACTCAGGTCCCACTCACATGCACACTGAGGTGGGATTTCGTTTCATTCGCCGTGTCGAGGCTCGCCACAAAATGGGAGCCAGCTGCATGGAAACGGATGCAAAATTCTTAAGAAAAGTGTAAAATAAACCCCCCAGTTGGTTGAAGAACAAAGAAGTCACAAGTTAGCTCTAAAAGTCAACATGAGCTAAATAGTGAGAAAAAAAAACTACAAAAAGGAAAGATTGATCAGCTTCAAAAAGAACATCTTATCTTCAGACAGCACATCAGATCAAACTATAATGAAATCCAACCACCATAGAAGCAAAACAAAGGGCTAGCTGGTGCACAAGTGATCCTTTTGTTAACATACATGCAGCATTAACCTGCAGCCACCTCAGATCTGCAGTCGTCCTCA